TTGAAAGGGTGATTGGTTTGCTGCGTCGCAAGTATACCATTCTTCAAAGCACTCTTCCCACTGATTTCTTGAACAATGAAAGTGGACAAGATGAAGTACCAATCATTGACAGAATTATCAAAGTATGTTCAGCTCTTGTAAACCTGTGCCCACCTATTGTACCATTTGATCAGCTCCATACTTCATACAGTACTATTATAATCATATATTGTAGCTAATGAAATGATATGACGGGGAGGACAGTCTGTATAATTTAAGAACTATTGTAACACTACGAAAAGAGAGCAAGTGACTGGGAATGAGCACTAAACAGTGCTAAATAATACATTTGTACATTCGTTGAGAGTGTCTCACCTTTCCGATCACCACGAATTTCTCACCAATGACTTTCCCTTGAACACTAGAGATAAAACCCGAAACTATCTGGTTGTAGGCCTCCACGCTTTTGAAAGCTTTGAAGTGTTTCTTTGTTTAATAACTCGTCTCGATTACCAAATAGCACAGATCTGTAGGTTCGATTGGTGGTAAACATTGTGGATCTAACTTTGCGTCAATCTATGTAGCGGGATCGATCCCCACGAGTGATACTTTTTCTAAATATCGTTGTTGAACATGTGGCTCTAGTCGTTTTAGATAGTCGTTAAAGGTATATTGCAAATATCTTCCTTTTTTCTTCCTTCTTGATGTTTTGATCAGAAAAATTTTCCAAATCGCGCGACATATTTTAAAGAGTCACACACCAAAACACTGCATTTGGACATATGCTAATAAGCTTCTGCGACACCAATATGGCGGACGCCTAATTTGCATATGCTGTGACGTCACGTGCAAAACCAAGAATATCAATAATAAGAAAACTTAAAAGATTCTGGTAGTTTAAATCATATGATACCATCATGCGCTTGCCTGTACATTGAACTTTGTTGTGTTTAAGTAATGTCTCTGATTACTGTTCCTGAAGTCTATTATGGTGACACTTATCTTTACTGAACTTTCTGTTGAATAAAACCTCCAGGTCAAATTGCGAATGTTTTTGGGTTAAAAGTTATTAACAGTTTTAATGTAATGTTACCTCAGAGTACTACCTAACATATGATTCATTAATGTATTGCTTGTGTTCTGATCTTGTTAAGCAACTATCTTTTTTCCCTAGATTCTTCCACTTCCAACCCCATATCCACCTACCTGAACTAAATTTTCTGTTCTTTATTGAAAATACAGTCCCACAAAACCCAAATACAATAATTAGAGTACACATTTTGCTCTCAACCGACTGAAAATAGAATTTTGTGCCCTAATGGATAATAGAAACCTACACTCAGCATTGATTTTCACTATTGCTCAAATAGTGCTTTACTGCGAAGGATCGTGCACATATACACTCAGCATTGTGTTACTTTACAGGTATGCATTGTCCAAAATTAGTCATACATTCAAACCAAATCAACCTCCCAATGGCTTCCAGTGTAGATTATATCATTTCCCGAACGCTTCGGCCCTTCTGACAAGTTCTGTCCTCGTGCACTGGTACACAAAATGCCAAAAATATTCACATGAAATGCTTCCCTAGAGTTAATTTCACATCACTTGCCTTGGAAAAGACAATCAACCTACAAACTTCAGCACTCAATTCCACTTCGTTACGTAAACAAAATCATGACTGAATCTATTAGGCCGCTGTGGGAGATGATGCTGACGCTTTTTGTAGTTTCTAAAATCTCCAGGTTCCATGTGCAATCTTTGTTGTCAAAATGAGGCCTCCAAAAATCGATGATACGAGAGTGACTCCCAATCCTGGATTACTGCAGTGGTGTCTTCCATAGAGGTGGCAAAGGAAACGGGGGTTATAATGTCTACAAAGGCAAGCTGGAAGAATAGTATTGGACAATGCCTATTTATCCACCGAACAGATGTTTACATACCTACATACATAAATAGGTTAATTTACCACTCCTCATAGGGGCTTTTCAGGGCCAAAACCCACCCATCCCACCCAGGGGAGGACATCCACCACACAGTAATCTTGTGCGTGGGAAATTGACGTCTCCTACCCCTAACCCTGCAAGAGACGGGGCCTACGGCTTATTCGTCCTTATCCAAGAAGACTAGAATATCTATCTATTTCTTAATTATATTGGTTGGGAAACTCTTGCCAAAAGAAGAGAAATCCACATCATTAAATTGGTAGAAAACTGCCTTAAGGGACTGGCTCCAAGTTATTTTACTAAATATTTTCAATCAAAAGGACATGATATTCATGACTACAATAATAGGAATAAGGACAGATTATTTATTGACAGAGTTAAATTAGAATCAACCAAAAGAGCATTCTTTTTATAAAGGGGCCAAAACCTTTAATGATTATCTATGAATATAGTTCTAGTTCTCCTATCTCTTTTTATGTTCTTAGATTGTGTATGTGGCTTCTCTGACTTTTACACACTTTTTTTTTCCGCAGGACCGATGTTGATAGCAGTTTTTCATAACTGAATTGGTTATCCTGCATAAATATACACCGAATGCAAATATGGCGGAGCACTCGGGCGGACCATGCCGAGCTGCGCGAAGTCGAGGCTAGTTAGGCCTCGATGTATTTTTTTTCACAAAGGGTCAGTAGAAACTTCAAACATTGAGCGTAGTGATAGTCATTTTCGCGATGCCCACCCATTGCTGTGTCCCTGAATGTAACCAAAAAAGTGTAAAATCGCCAATGGGAGAGAAAGTATCTATTTTGGAATTTCCAAATCAATCTTTAGTGAGGAAGAGGTGGATTCATGCGATTCGACGAGACGAAGGAATATATAAATATCTGCGTTACGAAGTTTAGCAGATATTTGTTTTCTGCACGTTCTGTATGGATACA